TGTTGAAATCACTTTTGCTTAGAAATTACTGATCACAACCTAAACATCTACTTTTTTTAATGTACAGATTGAAATATAAGAAAAATTTGGACTGTATCCGTTTAACAACTTCATGTTTTTATGAGGAACTTCCCATACATTTAAATGTGGTTTCTTCTATTTATTTTAGTGCTTCCCAGTCATAACTGGTTAGGGGCCCAAACATTTAAACACTTCTGCAAATGAAAAAATTTGTTCAATGCCCACTTTGAATAATTTTGCCTTTGGTTGACTTCCATAGGCAGTGATAAAAAATACCTTTTTATACTCATATATACAGATTTTGCAGAATCAGTGTCTGCATTTTCTTTGTTTCAGTAAAGATTTTGATAGGTACTTGTGAATAGGATGGATTATTATCCATTCCTGACAAAGCCTCACCCTTGTTTCATTACTGCAACTATACCAAGTCATGATTTTTTTAATTTTTCTTTTTTTAATTGGCCTATGCTAACTGTTCTTAAAACACTACATATGGTAATGACGATTCTGGATTTACTAATACCGTATTTTCTGTGTAACTCACCACTACCTTGGAGGAGGTTATAGGTATTGCAAAATATTTTAAATATTTTAACAATTTCTTTAATTGATATTAATTTTCCAAGCTGCCTTCTGTGTAATGAGAAGAAACACAGTCCTTCCATATCTCTGGTTGATTAATATACATAAACAAACATGGCAAGGGGTAGAAAAATTTACCATAATAGCACACTTTCTAGTGGGTTGATATTTAGGGTTTTTTCTGTAGTATTTCATATTCAGATGTGGTGTGAAAAGAGATTTCACTTTTAACAGTCTTCCCTGCCCATTAGTAATATATTCCATAGGAAAACTAGGAATTGAATTGAAAAAAAGCATCTGGAAGAACATAAATAGAAGATGAGCTATGGGGCAAGTTTCTTCCAAAAGTATTTAGATAGCATACTAGACAGGAGTGTAGACTTTCAAATCTATAGTAATGCTTTAAGTATTTTTGTAACTTAATTTCTTTGTGGCATTTCAGATGTCCTGGTGGTTACATCTGTCGTATTATAAAACTTGCTTTTTCAATAATTATTTGCTGCAATAACTTTGAAATTAATTGCCCACAGCAGCTTTATTAATTTGGAAATGCAGTTAGGATTTTGTGCTTTGTGGCATGTGATATAATAATTTATAGAAGGATAATACCTTCCTTTATCTGTAATTTTTAAGTGTAGCACAGTCCTTCCTCAGCTATAATTTTCCTGTGACTCTTGGGAAAAGAAAACTTTAAGAGTGTTTTTAATTCTCAAGAAGAAAATACGTAGTGTGACATTGGTGTTGAAAGACAAAGTGTTACTGAAGATTGGTATTCATGCAGACGCTGGAAAAATAGCCTTGACTAGCAATGCATCTGCATCAAGATCTTCCAAACATCAGCACCTCCCTGTTGTTATAAGGCTGATATTTCTCTTCAGTTGTTTACATTTTCTTGCATATTTTAATTTTTTAGAGATTCAGTAATGTTGTTTTACATCGTTGCTCTTAGATGCCTCTAGATCTGTCTCCTCTTGCAACACCAATTATAAGAAATAAAATTGAAGAACCTTCTGTTGTAGAGACAACTCATCAAGATAGTCCCTTACCTCATCCAGAGTCTACTACCAATGATGAAAAGGTCAGAACCCTTTTTTTTTTTTTCTAATTCATTTTTCGAATCTTCTGATGATCTGTAAGTTTGTTGTACATGATGATAGCCACACTACTTAGCTGGTTGAAAGGAAAAGAATTTTCGTTTGCCGTATTCCTGTGGATATGTACTTAATTTGTTCAATTATTTAGTTAGCTTTGCTCACTGTACTTATTTCTTTGCCTCACACTGGCCATCCAGTAAAGTCAGAAAGGAAATCAAATTTACTATTCATGCTATGTTAGAAAAGGCTTAAAGGGGCTCTTTATTCTGTTTTATGCATCATCATTCATTAAAAAGCAAAGAAAGTTCAGTTTCTTTGAATTTTTTTTTAAATAATGTCAACAGTTTGAGACTTTTCATGTGTACATTTTTATGTTTACCCTATGTTTTACCATAAATTGTTTTGTAGAACAGCAGGGGATGTTCTACACAAATGTACAGGGCTGAATGGGCTGTCTTTCAAAGCTAAGCACCAGATAATTTTGTTTCAAATTTTATACTCCTTAGACTATAGCAGTACGTTTAAAAGTGGTGATCTTGGGCATTTGCTTGTTTAGTGTTTACTTGAATACCCATAGAAGACTGAGGTATTGTCTGTCACTAGAGGATGTTGCAGTCAAATCAGTTTTAGAACTATTGCTCTAAAGAAATAAATGGTTTAATAGTAATGATAACTTCAATACGTGACTTGCAGTGTTTTCATCATGTGGAGTTCTCTTGAAGAACACAAAATGAAGCAAAATCAGTGAAATGAATTAATTATTTCTATTCCTATTTCAATAAATAAAAATATTAGGAGCAGAACATAATAAAGCAATATGGTTGCTCCAGTCAGTCTTTTTTCTATGTGCATCTTCAGTGGGCAGTCTGCATTTGAGGGACTTGGCTACCTTATTCCCAGAAATCAGCAGGACTTTTTAGGATCACTGGGTGATTCAGGTTGGAAGGGACTGCAGGAAGTTCCTGGTCGCACTTCCTCCTCAAAGCAGGGGTTAGCTCTGAGATCGGACCAAGTTACTCAGGGCTTTACGCAGTCTGGGCTTGAAACCTCTGAGAAGGGAGACTGCACAACCTCTCAGTGCAACTTGTTCCAATGCCAGGCTGTCCTTGTGGTGAAAGCATTTTTCTTTGGATCCAGTCTGAACCTCTTTGGTTTCAACTTGCACCCCTTCTCTTATCCTGCCAACAGGCACCAGTATAAGAAGAGCCTTAAGTGTGTGACAGAAGTTTAAGAGTTTCAATTCAGATTTGTCTTTACAAAGCTTCGCTGAGTTTTATCAGTTAGCAAGGATGAGTAATCATAGGTAATCAAGGCAACCATGTAGTCTCAAAAATAGTAAAAGTTGTTTAAAGGAATACACGTAAAGAGCTGCTTAGATTAAGCAAATCATAGTCCAAATCTTAAGTCTTCTCTATTTCATTTCTTCTTTATTTCAGAGGTTAGTTTGTTTTTTTCACTGCGAATATTTATTCTAAGTACTCTAATTTTGGCAGGAGATAATATTAGTGTCTTTATACAGTAGTGGTTCAGTATCTCATTAGCATCATTACAAGTGAAAATTATATCTCAATGCTTGGCAGTACTTATAAACTTGTCTCATTCATGATGTAATTTCAGTGTTGTCACTGTAACAGTGCTGAAGTGAAAAGCTGCTGCTGCTCAATGCTGTTCTCATGTCTGATTGTAGAGACAAGCTGAGCAAGGATGAGGGTGCTGCTTGGAGTGTGCTGCTGCTGAATGTGGTCTGCAGAAGTTGAGAAATGTGAGCAGAGTGTTGCTGTTTTCTCAGTTAGATTTTTATATTCTCCTTCTGTAGATGTATTGAAGGAGGGAAGGGTTTTTTTTTCAGGGCATAGCTGGTTTTAAAATATATATGCCACTGTAACCATTTCATTGGCTGAATATATTCTAGTAGCCTTAAATGATTACAGCCTGTTAATGTTTGTGCAAGACAGTTCTAATTTTCCTTGTAGTTGTCAAAGGAATTTCTTAGACTCTTAAAAAATTATGCTTAATTCTTTTCCTAGTTTTCCGAGAGTTCCCTGAGTTCTATTAGGCTTCAGTAAGAGTTGATATTCTGCTTTGAATAGACCAAGATATAATTAGAAGTATATAAAGCCTTTTAACCTTAAAATAATAAGCAAATGAAACCTAATTTATTCTTTGAGAGCTTTCAAACTCATAGTTGCTTATTAACAGTGCTTTAAAGGGTGACCCTCAACAGAGTTTCACAGATTGCTTAGTTATTGTCAGATAGCTAAATGCCTAACTTAATTATTTTAACACCAGTTGTTTTCTTACAGTAATAATCAATTACAGTATTAGTTCTGGCCATCTACATTTCTGTATAGAGAATTCTGTGTATTCATTGATAGCATTAGGAAGTTATCGCATGATATTTGCTATTAAATGCCAAATACTTGCAACTATGCATCTCTGAAAACACTTCTTAAATAAAGTAACTATCCTCTTCTGTAAAATATTTTCCAATTCAGTGGTTTTTAGTTTCAAGAATAGAAGGGTTGGAAGGGTCCTTTTAATAAGTTTTTAGTATCTTTGAATGGGCTTAAACGTCTTTCTTGTAAAGGTGGGTAAAGGTAAGATCATTTTGGCTTAATCTCATGATTGCAAATTCATCTCTATTTTTCCTGTTCTTTAGCAGAATATATTTACAAACTATTTCATTTCATACAAAATTTATACTGCATTAGTGCAATGCTTTGATGACCAATTAGTATCTTCTATCAGACCAGTGTGCCTATGGTTTTGTTTTTATATGCTAATAAAATGTCAGTTTCCTTTAGATCCATTCTTCTTACATTGTTGCAATAACTAGCACATGCATGCACTTTTCCGAGTGTAGCATAGAGCAAGTTAGTGTAAGAAGTAAAGGGGAAGTTGAAAATACTTTGTTTTCAACTGTATAAACACACAGGTCAGTAAATGTGTTATTCCTTTAATGGTTAGGGATTGTTTCTGATCCTTGAAACAAAGCACGAATGCTGTCTTTAATAACACACAGAAATAATTGTGTGCATATGAGGTTTCTGTTTTCAGAATTTTATAGATTTATTTCAGAATTTTATACATTAATCTTCCAACCATTGCTGAAATCTGGTTTCCATAGAGCACTTCGTCTAAAAGTTGCAAATCGCCTTTTTCCTAGTAGGGGATCAAGCCAGGGAGAGGCCCAGTTTTACAGTCAGTATTTATTAGAACGCCCATTAACTAAGCTCTTGTTATTAATAGCCAGTAAGTATTCACAGAGTGCCATAACTTACTCGCTCACTCATACATAGTTACCTGGTTGCAGCAACAGTTGGGACGCCAATCCCAGCCGCTTGCTCAGAGGTGGAAGGTCTTAACTGACATGCCAGTGACTTCTAGATAGCTGTTCAGAAAGTGTTCAAGGTCAGGTTGGACTGGGCTCTGAGCCACCTGATCTAGCTGAAGATGTCCCTGCCCACGGCAAGTGGGTTGGACTAGATGATCTTTAAAGGTTGCTTCTAACTCCAACCATTCTGTGTTTCTGTGAAAGTCCTTCAAGGGGTTCATTCTTTCATCAAGTGTATATATAATCCTGTAGTCTTTGTTCACATATAGTGGTTTTGGAAGTCGTCTGAATTGTACAGCATGTTCATGCTAGCATACCGATTCAGCTGGTGTTCTGAGTTTATAAATCGTTGCAAATTCAACAGGGCCGGTTTTCGCTGGAGCTTATCCATTCTTGGGAGACTTTCACACACTGCCTCTCAGCGCTTCTCTTCTTGGCCTTCTGTATTTTGGTAGCTATTTCCCCATCCACACGCAGAGGTACTTATAGAAGCCACTCGCACAGATCCATACAGAAGGGGCTGTTACGGCATTACTGTTGTTGAGAATGTGTGAATATCTGGTTAGTTTACATTTTTGTATTAAAGCTATACACATGGCTCCATGGCTGCTGTTAGCCAACTGTCTTTTTCTCCCTTTTTATGGGAATTAGAATTACTTTGCCATAGCTATTTATTCTATGGCGTTCATGTATCTAAATTTATATTTGTACATATACTTTTATATGTATGTGGTTACCATGTATGAAGATGTTTCAGGTGAAAGGAGGAACAAGAAAAAGAGCTCTTACACCTCTGTTGGCTGTTAGGGGCAAACATGTGTGTTCCTGTGTCAGATCCCTACAATGGAAATGGACTTTCTAGCAGCTCCTTGCCCACAGTAATGAGACAGGTAATAGTGGCAAACAGCAGGCAGGAAAGGGTGAAGATGAAACCAGTGAAGAGTGATACAATATTAATTTCTGCATTGACCAGTGCCAAAAGATTATCAGGGCACGTATTCTCCCCTTATGCCTTCCTCTAATTTCCCACAGTCAAGCAGTTCAATCTCCTTTACGTTTTCGCTGTGGCTCTTCTCACTGAATAAGATCTGTATAGCTGTTACACCAAATTCCTTATTTGCAAAGGAGTGTTTAATCCTGTCCTAAGACTATGCATTAGTCAACTCTTCCCAATTTTTTTTCTGTTTTTGCAATTCCATACTGGATGTTTTCTTCTTTTGACTGAATGCTCATCTGTAATTCTAGGTACTGTGTTCAAATATTATAACATTTATAAATACGCCAAATTAATACTAACGAAAAAATTCTTGCTTTCCTCAATACTGTTATTCTCCAAAAACTCTCATTCACTGTAAACAGTCTTTTAGGTCCCTTGGGGAAAAGCCTGAACGAACTAATGAATCCTGATGGCAAATCTAGCCTCTGAGCTTTTGAAGGGAGAAAATTTCATCATCTGAAGTCCTTTCTTTTTTAAAGCGCACAGTTTGCCAGCCCACTTACAGTTCTATGAAGTGCTCAAGAGGAGTGCACACATTTTGCAATGGATGTGTAAAAAGAAAAACAATCTGTAAGACAGCTAAGACCTTATTACTTAAAGCTTTGTGGATGAATTTTAAAAACTTAAGCTTAATTCAGAGCAAATGGTAATCAATGTAGCCTGTATGACACAGGTATGAGATGTTCTCTTTGAATTACGGTTTAACAGTGGAGCAACTAAAGTCTGCTGGTCTTAAGAGTGTAGTTTTATGTGCCATTGATTGCAGTAGCTAGTGTCAGAAGAATAAATAACTTGGAAAAATCCTGTCTGAAGGTAAATCTGAAGTCTGACAATATCAAGGGTTTCCTGAGAAAGAAGGCATTGGTTACCATAAGGCATTTCTGGGTTTTGAAACAGCAGGTGCAGGTACTACATTTTAATTGATAACGTACTTTACCTGATTGCTAAGCTAAGAACTATAGTCAATTCTGTCTACTATTTACTTGCAACTAAGAAAATTTAATTTCTGTGCTCAAATCATTGCTTCTGCATCAGGATATGCATATATTTTGCAAAGCTATGAATGTAACACTCCGATTTTTATCTTAGTAGCACTCTAGTTAAGAGCAGTACGTGGGTAAGGGATAAAGGCTTAAAAAAAAAAGACACATTCCTTTTTACTGAACCATAAAATTCTTTTGTTTCTCTTGTTTAAATCCCAAACAATGGACTGAAACCGAAATGTACATAAGGCCACCATAAAATGTTTTCCTTATTTAGAGTGTGGGTCGACATGATGGTGCTGATAGCACCATGGGTTTCTTGGCAAAAAAACTTAATACCTGATCAAAACTGAATTACAAGTAATACTAGCCTTAGCATAAATTGAGGCAGGGTTTATCATAAAACTAAAATCACTGTCGTTGAAACAATTTCACTTTGATGGTTTAAATGATTCATCCAAAGGGGTTTTTTGGAATGTTTTTAATTGTATAACTGATTCTACTTGCATAATGTTATAGAAATTCTGATCTGTTTCATCAAACTGTGTTCATTTGACAGTCAGAATTAACGGTCTATAATTGTATTTTACAAACTGATTAAAGTTTGTTTTTCCTCAGGAAGTGTCACTGCAGCAGACCGCACAGCCTACATCAACAATAGTTCGTCCAGCATCGCTACAGGTTCCTAATGTGCTACTTACGAGTTCTGACTCAAGTGTTATTATTCAGCAGGCAATACCATCACCAACGTCAAGTACTGTTATTACCCAGGCTCCATCCTCTAACAGACCAATAGTGTAAGTTACATAAATCTTAGTAAAATGTTTTCTTACAGAATTTGAATATATTCTGTCTTGTTTACTTTCAGTTACTGCTTCTGCAGTTAACGTACAAATTTGAGATGCTTTGGTGTAATGTGGTGCTTTACTACATATGAAACATACAACTTTCACTACATGTGAAATATAATTCCATGTTCTCCACATCGCTAAGTTCATATTTTTGATCTCCAAATAAATATTACAACTGTAAACAAACAAACCAATTTAAAATAATATGTAAACTTGTTCTCTTCTCTGGATAAGTTTTCTTTTATATAGTTCATTCCTTTTTCAGTCCAGTTCCAGGTCCTTTTCCTCTGCTGTTACATCTTCCTAATGGACAAACCATGCCTGTTGCTATTCCTGCATCTATCACAAATTCTAATGTGCATGTCCCTGCTGCAGTTCCAGTAAGTAAGCATGATGCTATATTAATTTGAAAGTGGAGCAGATTTGCATAAGTGCAGCATAGAACTTAGTTTTAAGCAGCTTGATAGCTGTTTTGGCTTCAGAGGGTAGTGCTGTCATATGCTCTCTATTATGATAACATACTCAGGTTTTCTTCATTTTTATACTTTATCTGGTCAGCTTGTTAGACCTGTCACCATGGTGCCTAGTATCCCAGGAATCCCAGGGCCTTCCTCCCCACAGCCAGTGCAGTCTGAGGCTAAATTGGTAAGTGAAAAACTCCATTGTTCCTCAAGAAGAATAACTTGAGAAAATTAATTAAATTCTATTGCTTTTTAAAACAGCTTTAGTTTTCTTTTGTTAGTCTAAATTCTGCAAGTACAAATTAAATAAAAACAGAAAAATAACAGCTGCATTTATTTTACAGTTATTTCAAATTCCAGCCTATGTTAATTCTGTTATTAATGGTCATTTTGATCTTATTTTCAATCATTCTTTTAAATGAACTAGTTTTTTAACTGAACTCCTTCTTGCTCCTTGTATTGGAGGATAGGAAATGTTAGGTGGAAGAAAGACAAGATTAGTAGCATGGTACCAGTGAACATCACCTTTAGAGAAGCAGAATATGTTGCCTCCCAAAGGATATGATATTTCTTAAAAAAACTAGGAAAAGGGAAAGTTTTTTTAACAATGTTTTCAGGATCTCTACTGAATATAGTCCATTTGGCAAGAGTTTTGTAATTAGATATGTATAACTGACACACTTAGGAAATTGTTTTGTGTGGAGGTTGTTTCTGTTGTGTCGGGGCAGTTTTGGGGGTTATTTGGGAAAATTATGAGTAAAACAAGCAGAAGAAAGTTTATTCTGTTTTTTTTTTAATATTAGTGATCCAGTTATGGTGGTAGTTTGAATGAATCAATTTCTTGGAAAATTTTCTGCAACATTAGGTAGTTACTTCTCTGTTTTTGCTGTGTTTGTTCCAACTGTTCTAAAGCAATACAAAATCTATTAGTAAACAATAATTAAACGCACTTACGTATTTACAAGATGCCTCTGTAAACAGTATCTGTCTTGTGAAGTAGTGTTCCTCTTCTGACTCTTACTTTGTGCTAAAAAAGATAAATGCTTAGATAAATGCATAGGTGCTGCTAGATAAAACATATTTTTGTACATCAATACTGATAAACAGGAGGATGCCCTTAACATCCTTTGATATCTCATTTCTCTCAACCTAAACCTGTGGGCTTTCTTTCCTTACCCATTTTCTCTCCTCAAACCACAATATGAAAAACTGAGTCTGGGGACACTAATTATTCTGCTCTCTGGGGTAATGGGATTCCAGTATAGTGGGCACACCAGACCACATTCACCAAATACTGAAACTGTTGTGGAGAGCGGGTCACCAGTGTACTGACTTTTCCTAATGCTGTCAGGTCTTCCTTCATTTTCCTCCTCTGTTGGACACAATGACTTTTAAAATAGTGTAGAGAAGGACAGAAAGGAAGAAGGTCTGTTTCTGTGCATCCTTGTTCCCCTAGGAATGGGAAAAGGAATCTTTTAATACCTGAGGAAATATTTAAATGTAACCAGCTCTGATGAGATGAATTTATCTTAAATCCAGGAGAGAAGAATGTAAGAAAGTGAAAACAAGAACTATTTTCTCAGAAATTGCACATTCCTTAGAGTCAGGAGATTCATGCACTGAATTCTGCTTTGTGAAATCCAGGAGGAATTGGTTCCAAATAATTTTTTTAGATGGACAAGAAATTAGGTTTCTAAGCACATTACTGAGTGATTTGCTCTTGCAAAGCTTTAAAGGGGGGAAGGAAATACATGTATGTGGTGAGGACTTTGATCTCACATTGGAAGAAGC